AAGAAAAAAAAAAAAAAAAAAAAAAAAAAAAAAAACACATCATAGTAAAACCAATACCTTCTCAGCTTCGCATCGAAGATAATATTAGATCAACTACTGTTTATTTCGATAGCAAATTATTGCCATCACTAACTAGTAATGTAAATATTGATAGGCTACCTGTACTTGTAAGTTTCAATGGTTATGATCAACTTCTTGGCCTTTCTTTTATTAAATCAAGTACAGGAAGAGAACAAGCTTCAGCAGTTCATAGTTTATTAGTAGAATGAGATATTGAAAATAAAGTTCAGGCTATTTGTTGCGACACAAGAGCCTCTAATATGGGGAGATTACAAGGTGCTTGTATTATTTTAATGGCAAAAGCCATTTATTGTTTGAAAATTTTTCTTTTTCGAGAGTCTTTTGAACTAACCAATGACGAAAGGGTTGGTATTCGTAATGTTTGTATATTTTTAGTAAGAATTTATTTAAAATACTGGTTTTCTACAAATAATGCTATTGAAGATCCTCGCATGGACTTAGAATGCATGAAAAATCTTTATGAATACATAAAAATTGATGATACCGTAGGTTTAATAGTACTTAAGAAATTTGGCAACCACTTATGGTATCTCGCGCCTGAAAATGCCTCAATGGCATTTTTTGATGATCAAATACCTGTAGAAGTAAAAAGACTTATGGTAAAATCATTACAAACCAATGAATTTGAAGACTTAAAAAAGATTAATCCGCCAAGAAATATAAAACATTTTGTAAGTAAAACTATTGACATGTTCATTAATGCAAACTCAAAAAATTTTTTTTAACATTTTGATATGAAAACTTGTTTTTTAAGCGAAGATTCTGCAATACGATAACACTCCGTGTATTTTTTTTATTCTCGCGCTGTTCATCAATCCAGTGACACTTTTTATTTGTACTCTTTTTTTTTTTTTATGTATGTATAAATCATATTTCATTATTAAAAATTATTAATTATTATAAATTTTAATTGTAGTATTTTGTAATAAATATAAACACCAAAACACTACA